GAAATTTTGGAATGTGGAACGCTGGCGGAAAGTTGCGGCTGGTATTAGTCCTAACAATTCCTCGGAGCACTTTCCATGTATGTATTGTTTGTGTTTTCAATAAAACACAGATGTTTGAGGTCTTCAGTGTTTATTGTAGTAGTTATTCTTACACAGCCTATTCTAATTAATATTGTAAGTAATGCAATTTGCATAGTGTCTCACCCATCGTCCAAGAGATAGAGAGTCACATTCGTAAATGACATCTGTCAACTTAAGACATGTAACGTTCCGTTACTACATCATCCCTTTAAAAAAAATGAAAAACAAAAAGACTACTTGCATTCATCCTCCTTTATAATAACTAAATATCAGTACTTATACTTAAAGCATATAGCATTTTTAAATTAATCTCAGTTAGATAATTTTTAAGATTTAATTTTTGCCACTGTGGGTAAACATTATCTATATTATTTAAATTAAAGCTTTTGGCATCTTATATTCTACAGCACCCATATTATCTACGGGGACTTTTTCTTCTTTAGTTCTTATATGATCCAAACAATAAGCAACGTGATTCTTCTTGAAGGTTGGTTTTCAGAATCATTCGGAATCAGTCGACTGCGCCATGTATTGTTCACAGTTTCCTGCTGTACATAGGTTTCTCAAAATGTGCACTATAGCATCTAATCCATCTCAGGTACTACGGCTACATCTTCAGGTTTTCAGTCCATCTATCTGTAGGCATCCTGTCTTCGGTTTCACGATTCGCGGTCTCCACTCTAGGACCCGTTTAGGAGCCGTCTGGGACCCGCACAACGACCTTTGGTCCTTCTGCAGACGTGGCTGATTGGCCACGTCTGCCTCTTCTTTCACGTTTGCCTCTCTTCCGTCTGCGTCATTTTAACTTTTAAAGAAACTTCTAACATAGCTAAATTCATAAGTTTTTTTAACTTTAAGTTTGTGAACAAGGCCTACTGTTAGTTTCCATGTCTCTGCACTTTATATACTACATATTTTCTACTAAACACAATTCGGTAAAACCAAGGTTGAAATCAGTTTCCTGAAATAGTTTATAATTTTTCACCATTAAAGTACTCTGGGTACTAACATCAGTCATTTCGTAAAATGTGTTTAGCTTGAAAATATATTTTGTTTCTTTGATGCGACCGTGAATATGCGTATGTTTCCAATAACTATTGGAATCAGGATATTAGCCAAGTGTTATGGCGTTGAATGTTATAGCAAGGTGAATTGTATTATGAAATATGTTGATGCTTTTCTTGAAATACTTCTCTTTTAATCTGTTATACAAACATCTAAGAAAACTCACACGTTGTGATGAAAATAATATTGCTTAAGATAACTACGAATTCATTTTCAAGGTCCTGTAGAAGTTTGACTGAAGATTTCATTTGCACAATTTCTTGTGCAAATGCGAATGCACAAAATGCGGTGCTATATTGTATATACGGAATAGAATAGAATGTTTATTGCACACCAATGACACAATGATATATGGATTTAAGAAATTATATGTACAATGGGCGGCCTTATTACTAAAAGCAAACTCTTACAGGCAATCTTTGGATGGACAAATCGACAATAAATTAAAGTAACAAGAAGTCTAAGTGTAATAAGGCAGTGTTAAAATAATATATAAATACTAGCTAACCCGGCAAACGTTGTTTTGCCATATACATTATTTCAAATTTTTTTGTAAAAAAAAAAATTGGTCTGAAAAATAGATGTTGGCCGATTCTCAGACCTACCCGATATGCACACAAAATTTCACGAAAATCGGTCTAGTCGTGTCGAGGAGTTCAACCACGCACACCGTGACACGAGAATTTTATATATTAGATAGGCATACATACACATACACATATATACATACATATACACACACAAATATTTTTACACAATGTAAATAATATGTACAATATTTAATAAATCTATATCTATGGAATCTGATTAGTCATGTAGAGATGTTAAGAGCAAAGAGTCCTTATGAATTCTATACGTATGTAATCATAAAAAAAATACGTCCTTGAACTTTTTGACTCTGTAATTTTAAATATGTAATATAATTATTTACCTTGCGAGAGCCACGTATCGGCACATTTGAACTAGCTTCGCCAGGTTAACACCACATCCTTACAGAAAACCGGCGCTAAACATTTCTTTCACAAAACTTGACAGAAACCCTATACGAAGCCGTCTGGCTAGTGTGCTATAATAGACCAAAACCACATTTCTAAGGATAGGCCTATATCCAGAAGAGGACTATTAAAGGATATTGATGATAATAAAAATAATAATAATATTCTACCACATACACACAACGCCATCTAGTCCCAAACTAAGCAGAGCTTGTACTATGGGTACTAGACAACTGATATAAATACATATATACTTTTTTTTTTGTTAATACATATACATTATACATGGAAACACCCAGACCAAATCAAACATCAAATGTTCATGCACACAAATGTTTGACTTGAGCGGGAATCGAACCCGCGACCTTTGGAATAGCAGTCCGTTACACAAACTACTACGCCATCAGGTCTTCAAAAAAAAATTAAAAATAATGATAAAACAATGATTTCACTGCATTTCACCTTACTAGAGATTCATAGCCCTAATTCTGGCAAGGGCATTGAAAAGTCGAGAACATACCTGTCTCTCGAGTTACAGATGCCAATGGGCGTCGTGAGTCCTTAACCATCACGCTGACCCTCTACTCGTTTGTCCCCTGTGCTATAAAAATGACAATAGCAAGTGAAATCCCATATCTCAGGTGGGGAAACAGATCTGAGCCTGCATGAGCTTGAAGACCACTAAGACAGTCCTTGTCTTAGTGGTCTTCAATTTTTTTTTCTTTTTTTTTTCTTTTTTAAAAAGACAACTCCCGCATTAGGAATAAATCCTGTGTCGCGGGGGACTTTACAAACATACATGAAACGGACACAAAGAACACCCAGACTCAGAACAACAATTTGTGGATCACACAAAGTGTCGTCCCATGTGGGGTTTGTACCCACAACACTCGGCGTAGTAGGAAGCGGCGTGGCGACCGCTTAAACCACTACGCCATCCGTGCAGTCAAAAATGGGCAATGTCAATCAATGGGCAATGTCATCTCTGACTGATCATAAAGACTAGATTTTTTCCACTTTTAAACTATCATCATCATCATCAATAGCCTTTAACAGTCCACTGCTGGACATAGGCCTCTCCTTAGAAAGGAGGTTTTGGCCTACTATTGAACTATCTTGGAACATAATTTTTTAGAGGACGAGATTTTGTCCAAAGTTTAAGGGATATTTTTCTTGACTTTAATCCCTGAACTGAGTCGCAAACTTTTCAGCAGAGCTGACAACATGTTTCCTTCTCGACTTTCTATAAACAAAAATGTTCGAAATCGAAGAAAAGCCTTTATATTCTCATTTAAGATTTTATTTTTTTCATTTTTTCTTTCACCACTTCGATGATACAAATCATACATTTGGCGTGATGGTAAGCGGTTACCTTAGCTTAATGTGCACTTGCGATTCCAGAGGACTCGCTTTCACCCATGATACAATATTTTAAATTATTCTTTCTTTGTTGGTGACGGGCCTGTTGGTGTAGTGGATAGTGACCCTGACTGCTAAACCAAAGGTCGTGGGTTCGATTCCCATCCAGGATAAATATTGTGTGATGAGCACGGTCATTTGTTCTGTGTCTGGGTGTAATTTATTTATAATATGTATCTATTTAAAATATATAAGTATGTTTATCAGCAGTCTGGTTACCATAGTACAGGCTCTGCCCAGTTTGGGATCAGACAGCCGGGATCAGACATATTGTATTATAGTATAGTTTGTCGTACATCCTTAAACAAAAACTTAAGGTTACATTTAATCTTTTCTTTGATAGTATTAACTGGTATGCACTTTTGTAAATATTGTTCCTCATAGAAGATAGAAATGGTTTTATAAAACTATATAACTGAGTACTATCACATCCTCCGTCCTATTGACATAAAAATATGTTTCTTAACTTAATAGAAAAGGCTATGGATGTAGGCAAAGGCATACCTGATATTGACTGATATTTGACTTGTTTGTCCTTAATTTTCTATTGATATCGCATTGTCATAAACTGAAACATGTCACTAGAATACTTTTAGATAGGGATATAAACTGTTATTAACTCTTATTTATATTTAAACTAGTTATTTTTCAGCTAAGAATAGAAAATTCATTAACATTTTGTACTTCACCTTTGCTGCTTTCTTTTCTAATAATTTCTATATCCAAAATAAACATGTGTTTGACCGCGTCCACTTGCAACAGTCCGCGAAGGTCTGCTTTAAATTGGAATATAAAAATAACCGTAGTTACGATGACGAGGTTAACCGCCAACCATGACAGCCAGATGAATGTCGCAAATGAGTTTTATTTCATTAGTTGTTTTAGTTTTTGATTGAATGACACGTCTAAAGTACGAAAAATTTTATTCTCCTTTATGTACAAGCAACTTCACACTTTATTCTTTTGGTGATAATGAGAACATCACCGTTATAATAACAATTCCAAATGTATGGATATCGTCTTAATTTATTTCGCTATAATGTTGTTAATCAAATATAGGGTTAAAAATTATACAACCGTAATATCATATACAATTATAACTTAAACTACAAAAACCACCGCTGCGTTGTTTTGAGCAGAGAATTGTGTCATATATTTTGGCTTTAAAAATAAATTCATCTTTCTTTTGTTTAAAAATAACCTGTAACCGGAACAAATATACGGCACACCGTCTGGACTAAGGTGTGAATCGATGCCCGAGCCCCTTGAGCTCTAGCACGAAGCGTCGCGTTGTTAGTCGCTCTGCAAACGCAGCACCGAACACACGCACCAGATTGCGCACGCGTTCATCCCGCCACAACGATCGCGATTTATTAAACAAAAACAAATTCGAGTTTCAATATATTGTACAAACAAATATGACTGCTTGAAGAAAACAATATGTCGTTCTGTCGGATCACCGGTCGTAGTAGAGGGCTTCCAAAGCCCAACTACTTTCCGCTACTTGCTCCTATCTCGCCTGCTGATGCAAAACGCTGCTGCAGGATCACCGGTAAATCGTACGGGTTGCCTTCGCACCACTACATTCCAGTTCTTCTTGCTTCCCGCACTTCGAAGACAAAATGCAAGATAACAAACGTGTCTGGCGAGCTTGGACCGCATCACTATTCACCAGAAATTACCTATGGCAATAGAAAACATGAAATCTTACCAGACTTTAGATACATTTTCCCTGTTCTCGATGGCTCTACAGAAGCCCAAAAGAATTTAATGGAAATGTTATTAGGTAAACAAGTGATTGAAGATAAACGTTACGTATACACTGTGCAAGAAAGAAGGTGCAGCTTGGTATTCTCTGCTCAAATGGAAGCAGCAGTGCGTGATGGTGACGTCAGAGATGTCATGTTAGCAAAGGACTCTGACACAGTGCTAATTAAAACTAAACACGGCCGTAGTGTCTCCATGGACTTTAAGGATTTCACTGAAGATGTAGAAATATTTGAAGGAGAAGGACCGAATGCAGAAGTTTTGAAACAGAGAGAAATGGAGGAACTAGAAGAGAAAAAGAAGAAGAGGAAACGTACAGCTGGTCTATCTTCTATGAAGAAAATATTTGAAAAAAAGGAAAAACTTGCCGAAGTACAAGAGTTAGAAGAAGAAAAGCATCGTCTTGATCGAAAGGTTAAAAAAGCTAAACTAGAAGAATTTAGACACGAGAAACACGATATTAAAACATTCAATTACAATAACTTTGATGTGAATCATATGCGTTCAAAGTCGAGCATTGTCATGTGTTCTAGTGAATGGCGAGAACAAATGCATCCCTTGATTGAGACATGGGATAGCGAAACTTTTGAGAAAGATATACTGAACGAGCATTTTGTTCCTAAAGCTACTAAACTACCGACGCCGGTAAAAATAACTCCCTACCATTGCGAAGCAGAACTGTATGAAGTTGACCGCAATATTAGCGAAGTGTCTATTCCTTTGGAAAATGTGCCTTGTGTTAACCCCTTAAAGCCTATAAGAACACGCCCCTCTGATGCAGTTTTATGTGCTGTAAAAGAACTGTCCGAAGAACGCTTAGTAGAAACCGCAGATATTATTGAAAAATTAGTAGAAAGTGACAAAATGGATATGCTCCCTACGATTGAAAACTTAAATGAAATTGTTAAAAATATAAAAAAAGGTAAAAGGGATAAAGTTGCCAAAATAACTGGGCTTACATTGGACATAAAAAAAGCAAAGAAGTTTATACCTGGGCAAGTAGTGAATACTCCCCAAGGACCTGTTTTCGTGCCCGGACAAACAATAGACACACCTACTGGCCCTATTTTTGTTCCTGGCTTAAGCGTTAATACACCTGTTGGTCCAGGATTAATACCCGGTCATATTGTTTTAAATGAAAATACAGATATGCCATTTTTCCTGGCCGGTCAAGTTGTTAAGACACCAAATGGAGAAGAATTTGTTTGTGGACAAACAATTAAAAATAAAGATGATACATACCGATTCACAGAAGGGCAGACAGTTTTGTCGGAAGAAGGTCTTAAATTTATACCTGGTAAAATAATAAACACAGGTTCAGAAGAGACTTTTGTTCCTGGGCAAACTATACAAACACCAGAAGGAATTCAGTTTATACCTGGCCAAACGATAACAGAAAATGGTGCTATTACATTCACTCCTGGACAAAACACAAAAGTTGACAATGAATGGCAGTTTATACCAGGTCAAGTCATACATCAAGATGATGAATTACACTTTGTACCAGGTGCTACAATAGCTACACCAAATGGTCTTAAGTTTGTACCTGGACAAACAGTGTCAATAGATGGTGATACTTGTTTCGTACCTGGCGTTACAAAAATTACAGGTGACAAGGAGTTACAGTTTATCCCTGGCACCACCGTCGAAACAAATGACGGCCCCAAGTTCGTTGAAGGTCAAATAGTACATACTGACTGTGGAGAAAAATTTATGCCAGGAAAAACGATTGTCAACGGTGACGGTCACGTTCAGTTCTCTGTAGCAAAATCTGTCGACGATATTACTTTTAGTGAAAGCGCTCCAGTTGGCCTTCCGATTGATATAAAGACATGCTCACTTTCTGAAGAATCTCTATATGTTTTTGGCCACATGGTACAGTCACAAAAAGGAATTGAATTCTATCCAGGCCCGAGGGTACCCAAAATGGAGGGATGCCCAAAAATTGTTCCTGGAAGACTTGTGAAGAATGAAGCAAATGAGTCCCGTTTTGTTCCTGGTATGATGGTTGAGGGTATTTTCGTACCTGGACAAATAGTGTTTACAGAAAATGGAGAACAATTTGTACCAGGACAAGTGGTTGATACGGCTGATGGACCTAAATTTGTACCTGGACAAGTTGTGAATACAAAGTCTGGCCCAAAATTTGTACCTGGTCAAACAATACACACGATTGATGGTCCTCGTTTTGTACCGGGTCAAATCATAGAGACTAAAGCCGGCCCCACTTTTATTCCAGGTCAAGTAATTTCCACAGAAGATGAAGGATCTAGGTTTGTGCCCGGTCAAGTGGTAGATACTGAAGAAGGGCCAAGATTCGTACCTGGTAGGGTTATTGAAACAGATGATAATGGTGTAACATTTGTCCCGGGTCAAATTGTTCAAACACCAGAGGGACTAAAATTTGTTGCTCCTGACCTGACTGAGGGTGAGGAGGGTCTGGAATTTTCGGTTCAAAGTTTTGTGGTTACTCCTGAGGAACTTAAACTATTGAAAGTGAAAACTAACCCAAACGATACTACTTCTACAAAAGGTGAATTAACTATTGACAGAAATATGTTACGGCAGCTCTCTGAGGCTGGAATGTCAATTGGTAGACAAGTTCCCGCTGACTTACCAAGTATCAATGTTGTGTTAAATGAAACAAGGAATGCAGAAGCATTAAAGGCATTTGTCACAGATTTTGGTTTAAAAGATGAGGTAGCAAATCAATTACTGGAAGTCATATCGTCTATTATTGAAATGAGTGCACATTTAAAAACAGAAATAGAAGAAAATAATAAAGAATATGGATCAGTGAATGAATCTAAAAAAGGACAAATCAATCAAAAGCGAATGGATATACATGAACATAATGGTTTTATGGGTGGCAATGGACAAACTCCTCATCAAGAACATGTGAAAAACTCCATTGCTGCAGCTGTCTTAGCCGCTTTAGTTACCGCTGAACAATTTCAAAAAGATACTAAAAATAACAGCAAAGAAAAATATCAAATGATCTTAAAATCTATTGACAGTATATTAGGTAAGGCCATTGATGAAGATTTTGTATCTGCCATGTTTGATGCTCTTCAAAAAGAGGAAGACAAAGAAATGTTGTGTGAAGAAATCCTTGAAAATTCATCTCAGTCCAAAGTTGAATTGATAAAAATTGCTGTATGCAGCTCAATGCACAAACATTATTTTACACAAGAAGATATAATTGAGAAAGTAGGAGATTTTTTAAGTTGTGAAAATGAAATACTGGGCCCAGCATTTAAAAACATTTTCAGAAACGATACAAGTCTTCTTCAACCTTTGTTAGACCGCATTTCAGATTCAATTTCTTTTGTCAAAAGTAATCATGAAGTGACTGACACTTTGCAAAAAGCTATTGTATCTGCTGTACAAGAAGCTAGTAGCAAAGACCTCGAACTTCTGATACAAAATAATGATAAAGAACATCTCAAAGAATTAATCATTCAGTCTGTTGGACTTGCTAAGATACTAGGAATGAGAGATGTTGCCATAAAATTAATGTCAATAGTAAATGACGAAGATAGTATGACCAAAATTGCAGCTGACCCAACAAGTCTCAACATTATAAAAAGGCTGACTGTCATGCGGAAACTGGCGGATAAAACACCGAAGTTGCAGTCTGCGTTACGTACACTAGAAACCCATCCAGAACTAGCTCGTACAGATTCAAACCTGAGAGATTTAGTACGAGAAAGTGGTGCCCTCATGATTGTGCCCGAAGAATCGTTTCTACTTACTTCTGAAGACGTTCCATTAAATCTCTTAGACCCAGAAAATAGTCTTGCGATGGAAGACTTTATGTTCCGAAGGAGGAAACATAGAGGTGCTTTATTAATTATGAAAAAAGGATTACAAGCTGTTGTCCCACGTGAAGCAAGTCATTCTGTATTAACTGGAGAAGTAGCCTACACAGTTCTCGACGAAAATGGAATAAGACATTTTGAGCCTATGCACGTATTTTCAGCATTAAATCTTAGTCAGCCCTCAGCTCATCGTTTCTCAATGTACAGTTGTCCTATCGTTGATGATGACAATGAAGACTTACAATCATTCACTGGATATTGCAATATAAGTAACAATCAAAGAATAACAAAATTTGGTGGATGGTCACGCAGACATAGCGGAGTTTTATTAGAAAGAGAAAATACAAGAAGTCGTGTCAGTAGCTTGGAGACGACACCAAGTTACAAACGATATTCCACTCGATCTGTAGCAAGCTCTGATAGATCTAGATCTAGTTGTAGTAGGAGTCCCCCTAAGGTAATTTAATAAACACTTAACCTAACATCAGAAGATAATAATCTTGGATAAAACTAAAGATAATTTTCTATTGTTTCAGGTAGAAGATGTCGTGGTAGCATCAGCTGATTATTCAGCTGCTGCTGATGACGAAGTATCTTTAAAAGCCGGTGATATTGTGGAGGTTCTCGATACTAAGTCCAGCGTCGGATCAAAGTAAGTACATATTTATTATTGGCATGAGCTTTGCACAACTGTGCCCTCGTTGACGTGTTTCGTAAATAAACTACAGACATGTGCGATGTGAAACTGATCGTTATTCCGCTTGAACTCGGTTAGCAGAATAATATTATGTTAAATAGTTTCCACTTACACTTGTTATTCGAGTTTGTAGTTAACATACAGTCTTTCGAAAATAACTCTTAAATGTGTACTACTGAATTAATATTTCTCAGGCAAGTTTTACGAACTATACTAATTTTCTTTATTTTAGTTCCAAGTTAAAGTTAATTTTTCTATCTTTAAACTCTTGATTTTATTACTCTAATGTTTTAAGCATTTTCCCTTCATCATTATACAAAATTCATCAAATACGTAATTTATACACATATCAGAAACAAAAGAGACAGTCAAATAAATAATAACAGCTGTAATATTCAAGTAACAGCATACTCTGAAACTTCACACGTGTAACAACAAACCAAACCTGACAGTTTGAAGTGGTGATATCATATTCGCCACCAGGAATGTGTGGCGGAAGAAGTATAAATGTCAAGAATGCATTTTAATAGCTTGGATGCGACCAAAACTCCCGTGACTTCGATACTGTGTAATTTTAGCCGCGGGTTCGTTGCACCGCGTTTGCGCAATAAACCACTGTAATATGTATTATTTTACACGTTTGTTTTTTCATCTCTCATATTCAGTTGATCATTAATCACCATTTTCATTTCACCGCTGTGGATAACACGATCAAAATTAAAGGAGACGGGTGCTTTGCACACGGCGCTTGTATTCTAATTGATCAGTCATTTATTATAATCATGAATCATCTTCACATTTATATAACAAACTAAAAAACTCGTACAAATATATATTATTTAACTTGAACGTCATGTTGACTGTCTGATTCCAATTCCTCAAAATTATCGTTAAATTTCTCTAATGTTTGACCCATTTCATCTGAATTAACTTTATCCAAATATTCATCATGATCATCAATCATGCTATCATCATCACTGCCTGTTGACATAGTAAAAAAGGAAACATTATTGATTCAGGTACAGAGGCCGTGTTTATTGTTACGAGAACCATTTCTACAAAACCAGAGGTCCTCATTTGGACTATGTGTTTAGTGTTCCAACCTACAAAATGTATTATCATTGATTGTATGTGAAGAGAGAAGAGCGGACTCATGCCACAGTGTAAATAATCTCGCTTGCAATATATCGTTGTGCAATACATGTTGTACTTTCATTTTTTTATGTTGTGACCGACAAATAACTGTATTGTGATAACTATTGTATCATTAAAAACATTAGCTTTATATAATCATATTATTATATGTTTAAAAAGTTTGTGTATCGTTTAGAAACTTATGTAATAAAGGAAATAAATTTTATTGAGTTTCTTTTCAGTTTAGGCTCTTTTAGGTAGGTAGCAGCAATATTTGTCATTACAGTTTAGAATGTAATTCACTTCTTCACACTTCATCTGATGCATTTGACATAACTCATAAAATTCAACTGTTGTCGCCATTAATATGTGTACAAATGTACCAGAAATATGGCTCTCACATTGCTAGTATTCTTCTTAGGCCTTAACTACAACAACAACAGCCTTTAATAGTTCACTGTTGGATATAGGCCTCTCCTTAGAAAGGAGGTTTTGGCCTACTGTACCACGCCAGCCAAACGGGTTGGCATAGGGTTTTTCAAATTTTCCTTCTTTTTTCTGTACTGTTATCCTGCGTAGTTTGCTCCCTTAGTTGCCTCTTACGACACCCACCCGATGAATAGGGGTGGTGACATTCCGTATTCTTATTCCGTCACCACACGGACAACGGCCTTAACTAAGCTACTTGATAGTTATAGTCGGTAGTGTTCAGTTGTAGGTTCTAACTATTTTCCATTTCCTTATACGTACTTTATAATAATATTTGATAAATAATATAATAAGAATGATATTTATCCTATCAAAAAGCAAAGGAACCTTCTAACGAAGACTCCCAATCAATCCATATTTGGACACCCAATCAAGTCATCCATATAAATGACACTGTTGATATAAAAGAATACTACCATAAAAAATACTATAATAAAATTGGGAAAATGGTAGGCAGATGATGATGACCATAAATAGTTATTTTTATTTCTGCCACAAATTAATTGAACTCTTTACTGAGTGAAGTCTATTATCATCGATAGGAATTTAGAATGTATCGGAAAATGCTTGTATGTATGTAATGTAACTATTCCGTATGATATCAATCTTGTTAAGGGTGAAAAAAAGAACATGAATGGCTCACATCAGCTATGAGGTTTTTAGTTTTTTGGAAGATTGACTCAGTGATTTATTATTATGACGAAAAAACGGAACCCTTATAGGATCACTTTGTTCTCCGTCCATCCGTCCGTCCGTCTGTCTGTCAAGACCCTTTATCTCCGGAATGCATGGAGGCATTAAGTTGAAATTAAAACCATATACTCAGGTCTAAAGTCCCTTGAAGCTGTGAAAGAATCAAACTTCTAAGGTAATGTAAAAAACTTTTATTTCGACACTCTCAAGGGAATCAAAATCAAAAAGGTCAACGGAAAATACTCTATGAATTTTGATTAATGATAATTAGATGAACTATGAAATTTGCCAAGTTATACCGTCTTATACTACAAGTATAGGAAAATATCTGAAAACTACAAATTTGTAATTAAATCATAAAAAAACAGGGTTCTGACAACATCAAACATCTGTTTTTTTTTCAAATTTTTTATTGAGTTAACCGTGTCATGTGGGGTATCGTATGAAAGGGTTTTTATGATTATATTTTTTGATTTATGACGAAGAATGAAAAAAGTACCTACAAATTTGAACGGTGGGCGAGTCCGACTCGCACTTGTCCGGTTTTTTCCAAACTGATGTAATTACCAAATTTCCTTTTTGATTTACTTTTATTTTGCTTCGTAGTTCATAGGATCATGCACAAGAGACGTGTTTATGTCACTTATATTTATAGTTAACATCTAAATAATTGAGAATAGATTTCTAGAAATGAGTCACAGTAATAATTTATTCGATAATATTGCGGACGAATATTCCTAGATGTAATATTTTTTTCAACTAAGCCATTATCTTCTATCCCTTTTAATTTTATCTCTTTCATTTTCTATCTATGGGATAGAAGTTGATATCAATGACGATTAACTAACAGATTCCACACGAATGAACAACTCTGCCGTACTTACAATGATAAAATATCTATATCATATTTCTGCTGTTCAACACTACATGAACTAAATTTTTACGAGTTCGCACAATATGTGGTAAACGCGTTAGATGAGGCGAGTAAATTTGAATTTTAGTTCTTAAACTAAGAGTAAAAATATCACCTCATGTTATTCTGTGACCATATTGTATTCAGAAATTATAACCTGAAGCAGAGTTAAGCAACTATCTCTAAACAAAAGTGAGTTGACAAAAGTTTTAGAAGTCTGATGGAGGAAAAGGTAAAAAAAGACACTTACGTACGTAATATTGAAATATGATGTGGCGGGGTGAGCTTAGTGTGGTACGTATAGATAAATTTTATACCTAAAATTACATTGACCAAACTGGCCGAATTTGAATAATCTGTGCTAAACAAGGATGAAAGGATAGGCATAGGAAATGTAAAGGAAGCCATGAAATGACTAATGATCATATAGAATAGAACACAAAAATATATTGCAGATCCCAAATAAAATCAGTAACAACTTTGATAAATCCTTCGTTCAAAAAAGTTGAACCGACTTCAAACAATATTAACAAAGACCACTAAAAACCTAGCAGCAATCGCGGTTGATTTCCTGTCATTTTTTTAAGAGTTCCGCTGTCTGTCTCCGAAGTTCATCATCAGATCTATATGAAATTTAAATGAGACCATTTCGGAATAAACCCCTTTTGAACAAAAAATAATTTTGAAAAGCCGTCTATATTTGACGGAGTTATACATAAAAAGCATATAGACATCCGAATTGATAACCTCCTCCTCTGTAAAGTTGATTCAAAATAGTAATGAAGATGATGTGTTATGAATAAAGCAATTAATCATTTTTATTTTCTAAAAACTTTAAATTCCAAAAGCCATGAATCGATTCATGTGAAATTTGAAGAGCATATCCTGAAGTGTTTGGGGAAAACCCAAAAAAGCCGCATGTTAGTAATGAGTTCGTGGCTAACCTGGCAGTGAGCCAAACAGATGCGTACAGGTAACATATCGCCACGCCACTTACTTTTATAGTGTCATATCATACTGTTGCTTTAAAATTAACAATGATGAATCTTCAATTATTGCCACGATGGAACTGTGATGTTTTAATTATAAAGGATTACTGGTTAAGTCGGCCTAGATACTTTAAGGGGTTATAGTTGCCATCATTTCTGATAGATTTATCTATGAAATAGCATATCCCAAACCTAAATATTTTCAAGATATTGGACTTTTAAGATTGTTTTTATATTGCCCAAATTTCGCATAATATATTTTTTTAGAAGTTCTTTAAAAACTAGAGATCATACATTATTATACTTTATTTTATAATAATTTCCATTCCCAAAATTGCACTTAACAAACTAGGTCCACGAAATAGATGGTTAATAATATTATTTGTGATAATAATTTAATAATAATTTGTGATCGCTTATTTGCCAAAGGATGCATTGGAGTTCACTCGTACAGTAGAAAATTTTGGATATAAATTGAGATATGTATTTGAGTGCTTAAATTATTCTGCAAGGGATCATTTTGAACAAGGTGTACCAATACAAATTTATATTATTTATACCTTCTAATTAAAAGTAGAATTTGGAATAGCCAAAGCACTAACAGTATTACAAAATATTACTGTCCTAGTTTTGTAGAACAACTATGTAAACTGCCGTCTCTCAAGGTTCTTAGGCTGAAACCACTCCATTACTTATTTCTGAGACAAATTTAAAGCTAGTACAATTTGACTAAAAATTTGAGGTTATCGTGGTATGGGAACGCGGATACCTACTGATGCGGAAGGATGACGAAAAGATGGTGAAGAGTATTTTATGTATGAAAGTTGACAGGTACAAGTGAGGAAGACGATCAAAGAAAATATCGATGGAGTGTAAAAGGAAATATGGGTAGAAAAGCAGTAAGCTATAACATGGGAAATGACAAGGTAGAATGGAAGAAGAAAACATACTGCAACGACCCTCAATACGTATAAACAAGAATACACAAACTATACTACACATGAACTGAAAAACTTAACTTACTTGTATTAAATGAAATAAACACTTCTGATAGATAATAATAGCTAATTTGTGCTACTAAAATAACGAGTAAATACTCGTAAAATGCAGGATTGCCGCAACGACGTAGCGCAATGGTTGTGCTGCAACCCTGACCATCTAATCTGTTTGAATGTTCGATTGGCAAAAGAAATTTGTGGCACATAATAGCTGCAGTAAATAACTAAATGTGTCCAACTACTGACAATTCCCAAACATTGAAATTCTTTTAAGAGAGCTTACCTTAAAAAAATATCATTTGTTAATTTGAGACTACAGAGGTTAACGATATCTCACATACATACATACATCAACAGCCTATACATCAACAGCCTATACTAGTCCACTGCTGGACATAGGCCTCTCCTTAGAAAGGAGGTTTTGGCCTACTATACCACGCTTGCGAGACGGGTTGGTATAGGGTTGGTTTCAAGTTTTCCTTCTCTTTGTAGTGCTGTTGTCCTGCTTAGTTTGCTCCCTTAGTCGGCTCTTACGACACCCACGGGATGAATTGGGGTGGTGACAATTTGTATTCTTAATCCGTCACCACACGGACATACATACATACACTCACAACTATACCTATATTCCTGAAAGGATAGGCATAGTATTATTAAACATTTCACTAATAATTTAAGTTCCAAAGACGTAATAGAGGTCAAAATCAATTGCCGTCAATCGTGAACTTTTAGGATTAGATGAGAAAATGATGGATATTTATTGAAAAAGAATAGAAAAATTGATAGGAATGATATATTGCGTCTACGAATGGATTAAGAAATGTAAACAACAGCTTGAATAGGTCCGGGTTCTGTAATTTGAACTGTTGGAATGTCGGTGCCCTTTAACCGATCTTCTACCGCACTTTA